CCGCCGCCCCCCCCCGCCACCCTCCTCCTCCGGGGCCGATGCCCCCTCCCGCAGCGCGCCCGGCACACTTCCGGGCAGGGGCTGCAGGTTTGTATAATTTTTGGTGGTGTCCCATTAGCCACACCCCTGACCCCTGTTAATCACACCCCGACCCCCATTAGCCACACCCTCTGACCCCCATTAACCATGCCCCCTAACTCCCATTAACCACGCCTCTGGAGGTAACACACTTGGGGCAAAATGGACACATGACCAGAAGTAAAAAGTGTCATGTCACCCCTCTGGAAGGATTTTTCCCACCCTCCTCCTACCAACAGGGATTAGTTTGGCCCCCACCAAACCTCCCTCATGCAACAATCCTCCAATTGCATGAACCTAATGTGTGTGACATTAACTTGGGGGCAGAGAGGCTGGGGAAAGTGTTTCCTCTAAGGCTATGTCTACACTCGCAGCTTCCTGCACAAGTATAGGCATTCTTGCGCAAGAACCCCCAGAGTATCCACGCTGCCCACCTGCTCTTGCGCAAGAGCATTTACAGTACGGTGTGGTAAGACAGGGCGTCCTGCGCAAGAGTTATGCTCTTTTCTAACAGGTGTAAGCTCTCTTGCGCAAGAGGGCAGTGTGGATGCTTGGTAGGGATTTCTTGCGCAAGAAACCCCTATGGATAAAATGGCCGTCGGAGCTTTCTTGGGCAAGAGAGCGTCCACACTGCCATGGATGCTCTTGCGCAAAAGCACAGCTTGCACATGGCAGTGTGGACGTGTTCTTGTGCAAGAAGCTGCCAGCGAAGACATAGCCTAAGCGTTTCCTCCCATGAGCCGAATGAATTTTGTGTTGTGCACCAGCACTGAGTTCATGTGGCTTGTTTGGACGCGCCACTGTGGCACTGAATTTATTTATAAGTATTTTATAAACCTTTACCTTTTCCCTCTGCTGCCATGTCTCCTCCTCTTGCTCCATCAGCTCCCCTGGTGCCTGCTGCCCCCCCAACCCCTCACCCTCTGCTGTCCTGACTCCTGCTCTTCTCACTGCCCTCAGCCCTCCTGCCACCTGCCCCCCTCCACCAGCTCTTCTCTGCCCCGTCCTCCAGTAGCCCCACTCTGATCATGTGAGCTACCCCTCCTCATCCCCTCTTCTAACACCTCCCTCTACACACCTGCCCTGCCTCTCTCCTCTGGTTTTCCCTGATGCCCACCCCCTCACCACTCTGCCCCCATTCCCCTCATGCCGCTCTGTGCCCTCACACGACGTCCTCCATTCCCACCTTTCTCATGCCCACCCCTTCTTTCAAGCCTTCTCCCAGCACCTTCCCCTCCCCTCTCTAGCCCCCAATGCCCTTACTCTCTCCTCTCCTAGCATCACACTGTCCCCCCTCCCACTGACACCTCCCTCCTGCCCTTTTCTTCATTGTCTGCACTTGGCCCCCTGGCATTTGTCTCTCCTCCACCCTGTCCCTTGGTACCGTCCCCTTTCTTCCCCCTCCGCACAAGCCCCTTCCTCTCACACCCCTTCCCCTATTTTTCCCCTCCCCCTCCGCACAAGCCCCTGCCCCATTTTCCCCTCCGCACAAGCCCCTTCCTCCTCCCCCTCCTCCCTGTACCTTACCTTCTGCCTTCCACTTTGTGGGGCTGGAGTCTGCACTTGGGCCCCAGCAGTCCCCGGACTCCGAACCCGGAGCTAGGCTGTGCGGTGCAACGCCGCACCGAGCAGTTTTAAAGTCCTGGGCCGTGATGTCACATCACGCCCGGGCGTATCCCCGCTCACCTGGGAATGATACGCATCGTAGCAGCAGCCGGTAGTGCGTGCCAACAAGGGGGAGCCTGACTTAAAGCTGCACATGGCAGGGCCGGGCTGGGGCTGGAGGGAGAGGGGGGGAACGCTCTGAGGCCGGGGTGGGAGGACGCACGGGAGGGCCGGGGCCCACTCCAGGCAGGGCTGGGGGAGAGACCCAGCTCCACATATTGGTGGAGCAGGGCCCCTGGCTCTGCCGCCCATGCTTCCAGGTTCAGGGCGCGGGGCCCAATTCAGGGGAATCGGAGGAATTGGCCTAAGGCCGGCCCTGCCGGTGACCAGAGCCAGTCCCAGGCTGGCTGTGCACCAAGGAGCTCTGGGCCGAGAGGAACAGACTGAACAAGGCCCAGATGCCAGAGAGTGGGGCACGGCCCAGGGAAGGGAGACCTGGCTACTGTCTAAACCAGGGCAGCCCCCAGAGGAGAAAGTCCCCACCCTGTATCCCCTCATCTGGACAGACCAGTCTCGCCTGTATCCCATTCCTGTTCTTCCAGCCCCCGATCAGCCAGAGTCCTGAGGGCCCAGCCCCATGTCCTATCCATTCCCCACAGACAGAGGTTTTAAGCCTGTCAGAGATCATTACTACTAGTCAGGACTAGGGATGTTAAATACCGGTTAACTGAATAGTCACGTAACCTCATGAATTCTTATCGGTTAGTCCAGCGTTCCTCAAACTATGGGCTGCGGCCCGGTACCGGGCCACGGGAAAAAAATTCCGGGCCTCAGCGTGGCTGCCAGGGTGTTCCAGGCTCCCGGACTGCCCGTGCAGCGCCGGGTCCCCCCCAAGCCCTCAGCCGGGCTGGGCGGATGCAGCCGTATGTCTCAGGCTCCCGGCAGAGGCATAGTGAGGGTTACCAAGTGAGCTCTTATTGCTGGCTGCGGGGGAGGGGCAGTTGGATATGGGCCGCAGGGAAGTAGGGTTGGGGCAGTGGAGCTGCTGGGGGGAAATAGGGAGGGGAACCGGCCGGCGGAAGCAGGGCTGGCGGGAGGGGGCAGGAGCAGGAGCAGTGGGGCTGGCCAGGAGAGATTGGGGGGGAGGTGGGAACGGGCT